AGGCGAGCCACAACCTCTGTCTACCGCGTCTGCCAGCAGACCTGGGCGTGGCGGTTGACTCTTGCAAGGACCTGTTGAAGGAACGCATCGGCCAGCAGCTCCACGAATGCGAATCTTATCCATTTGGCGAATCGCATTTCGAAGGTCCCGATTGGCCAGACGAGCAGCAGGTGGTTATACTGATAGCAGGCAAAAGCTGTTTCCCCTGCCGTCCCTCCTCTAATGGATTGTTGGCTTGGTGACCATTTGGTTTGAAGTTTTTGGGCTCGTCGGAGCCATCTGAGGGCTCGGTCTAGCAATGCTGGCAGATCGGGGGCCGCTGGGCTGGCACGCGTGACATGGCTGCATGGAAACACACATTATTCCCATCTCTCTGGAGCCCAGGGTGCAGCCAGGCTTGACGAGCGCGTCATAGGTCACCGTCGTGACCGTCACCGTTTCAGCCTCGAGGGCAGGTGCGCTCTCTTTGCAACAAAGGGGGGGACGTGCGTCGGCCACGAGAGAGACGCCTGGACCTTGGAGCATGGCTGCAGCTGCTCGGGCAAGAGTGTGTCCTACACGGTACACGGCACCTCCCCACTCCAAGATGAGACGTTCGTCCTTGAGACCGTCGGTGAATTCCGCGAATTTTCTGGCGAAGTCGACCTTGAGTGTCCAGTCTGCCAGCCCTCCTCCTTCGGGCGATGAAATCTATACACATCCACTGCCCCTTGGCCAGGTCCATCCTGAGCGCAGGAGCTGTGCATACGCCCTCCTGGCAAAGCCTGGCCAGGGGGCAGTGGATCGGAGGTTGGGGGGTGAGATCGCAGTGAAACGGAGACCCCCCACCGGGAAATCGGTTTCGGTTTCGTGTTCGTGTCGTGCGTGCGGGCGAGGCGAAGCTGCGCGTGATCCTGTAGCTAGGCCGAAGTAGGAGCGAAAGTCCGTGTGCCCAGCAGCCGGTGGCCGGTTGGGCCGGGCGGTGTCCCGGGTGTCCCGGGTGTCCCGGGCGTCTTTTCCCGTCCGCCGGTGGCCGGTTGGGCCGGGCGGTGTCCCGGGTGTCCTGGGTGTCCCGGGCGTCCCGGTATCGATATTGAGATCGATGTGGTGCCCCGAGGTGTTTTGTGGTGTCCCGTGGTGTCCCAAAAAGTGAGATCGATAGTGAGATCGATAATGAGATCGACAGGTGTCCCGTGGTGTCCCGTGGTGTCCTATGGTGTCCCGTTGAGTGAGATCGATAGTGAGACCGATCGTGAGACAGATGTGGTTGAACACGTCTGCCAGATTTCACTCCCAGTCTCACGGCTGTCTATTCGATTGCTGTGTTGATACCCACGACCTCTCTCTCTCCGACCTTGACGATATTGCTCATTACTCACGTTGCTCACGTTTCTACTGGATATGTGAACCTTGGCTTGGAGAACTGATGCCTCCCTTCTCTGAATCCCCGCCGTGGCTTTTCTCTCTGCTCCCGACCACTAATCGACCTCGCACGGTGCTGTTTTTAACTGCTGCAATGCTTGCCGCGTTTATGTTTGCTCACAACTGTCGCCGCCACCAGCTGTCGTCGGGCAGTGTGTCTCAGCAGATACACGCTCGGATGCGCGCCACGGCACGCAGGCATCGTCCTGTTGCTGAGGCTTGGAGGCTTGAGCGACGGGTGTGACTTCTTTTTGCGAGGCCCCTCGGGGTATGTGAATTTGTGTTCGTTGTGTCTGGAGGATGGGGCCCCTGGACTCGAGGCACCTGGCTCTGGAAGGCCCTCTGCACTGCTCTGCCCTGGAGGGCGGACCACCTTGTCAAACAAACACTAGCAAGGTCAGCGTGAATGGGAAAAAAATAGTGAGATCGATATGGTGCCCCGAGGTGTCCCGTGGTGTCCCGTGGTGTCTCAAAAAGTGAGATCGATAGTGAGGTCGATAGGGAGATCGACAGGTGTCCCGCCGTGTCCCGTGGTGTCCCGTTGAGTGAGATCGATAGTGAGATCGATGGTTAGATCGACAGGTGTCCCTCGGTGCCCCGTGGTGTCCGAAGGTGTCCCATTGAGTGAGATCGATAGTCAGATCGATAGTGGGAGTGATAGTGAGATCGAGAGGTGTCCCGCGGTGTCCCGTGGTGGCCCGTGGTGGCCCGTGGTGTCCCGTGGTGTCCCGTTGAGTGAGACCGATAGTGAGATCGACAGTGAGATCGACAGGTGTCCCGTGCTGTCCCGTAGTGTCCCGTTGATTGAGATCGATAGTGATATCGATAGTAAGATCGATACTGAGATCGTTGTGGTGCACCGAGGTGTCCCTCGGTGTCCCGTGGTGTCCCGTTGAATGAAATCGATCGTGAGATCGGTTTCATACTTTATGTTTTCGGCGCCTGCGACGGCAATCCATGTATTCCAACCCAACCCATCTTATCTGATCCCATTCACCTTATCCCATCCAATCCAATCCACCCAGCCCAATCTATCAATTCATTTTTGTCGTCGCCTGCGGCGGGCTTTCTTATCCAATCCAGCTGATCGTATCCAATACATTTTTTCCAATCCAATCCATCTTACAGTATCCAACCCATTTTGTCCTATCTTATCTTATCCCACCCAACCCAATCCACCCAACCCAATGCATCAATGCATTTGTTTCTGCGCCTCTGGCGGGCCAATCCAACCCATTTTATCTTATCCAATCCATTTATTCCAATCCTACCTATGTTATCTGATCCAATCCATCTTATTCCATCCAATCCAATCCACCCAACCCAATCCATAGAGAAACACAGGGAGAGAGAGAGAGAGAGAGAGAGAGAGAGAGAAAGAGAGAGAGAGAGGCAGAGAGAAAGAGAGAGAGAGAGAGATGAAATCAAGGTGGCAGGCTGGAGGTCAGTCAGGGTGGGCATTTGATCTCAATCCCCCCCCCCCAACCTCCTTATCGCCCGCAGGGCGGTCGTATAGGTATGTATAGGTTTCGTCGCCGTACTCATCGTGTTCCCCTCCCGTGCTCCTTCGTCGTCGTTTCCCGCCGCTTCGGTTTTCCGCCGAGTTTCCTCCTCCCTGCGCCTCCTCCTCCCCTGCCCTCGTTCGCTCCCGAGCTGCCAGCTGCCCGCTTCCTCCTCCCCGCGCCCCCCATGGCTCAAGAAGGCTCGAATCTCAAGGAAATTTCAGGAGCAATGTATATGGGCCCGCCTTGCGAAGCTTCATGGCGACCCTGTGTGAAAATATCTAAATCGAAAAGGACCGTAGTGTTGCACTTCGTCAGGCAGCATGTCACAGTCGCCATCTCAAAATATCAGTTTTTTTGCCATACATTGGAATATGGGTAACTACGCGTTGACGCTGCCGAATACGTGCCTGTTCACTTTGGTGGGGGAGTTGGCCGGGCATGCTCCACGTGGCATGCGGATGAACATGTCACGATTTCATCGAGGGCATTGGTGTCAAGTGTTTTGTTTGACCGGATCCAACTGTGCAGCCGGCGTATATTGCGAAAGCATTCGATGCCAGATTCCATGCCATAATGTCCACAAACACCTGCATATTCAAGCAACTTTGTCATCACCGAAGTTTCGATTCCAATCTGCGGGATGGATTCTCCAGCCGACGAGAGCTTACACATCTTCGCGACCGCCTTGAACATGTGTTGCGTTTTTTTGTTGTTGCAAGCAAGGTTTCAATATTCGCTGACGGGGAATCAATCCGGCGAGGTCATGCATGCTATCCCCGAGAAAATTCCTATAGCGAGGTGATGTTGGCAACGGAGGCAAATATAGATATGGACACACTCATCGAGATCTGGAACGAATCTGGGCGACAGCACTTGTTCCGGTAGCCAAGGCGCATTTATCTAGGATGAATCTTCACGGTGCTTGTTGACAGATTCGGAGCAGCGGATTGCGACGATCTAGCGTGCGCCTTCTATATCGGCCAACAGACGTTTCATGTCTCAGCGGATTGGACAGCTGATGATCTTGAGCGCCGTGATGGTGTTTTTTGATCCTATGTGCGAAGGACAACCGATGCGAGGATACAGCATCATTCGGCGAACGAGACAGGCCGATAGTCATCGTACTGACTCCGGAAACGTCTTCGTCATCATCCGAGGGGTTCCGGCCCCACCGCCGACGCCTTCAAAGCGCGCGGCCGCGCGTGGACGTTGTTGCGGATGTCGGCGCTCGCCTCGCCTCGCCTCGCTTCGTGCCCCACAGTCTCGTGGCCGGCATGCCCTTCGTCCGCCCTCGAGGCCCTGTGCCCCTCGAGGCCTGCGCCCTCCTCGCGCGAAGGCGACTCGGTCCCCACATCCTCCACCACCACCTCCCTCCCCCTGCCTCATCTCCCAGCCCCATCGATTTCCCGCGCTTCCCCGCTCCATTCTCCGATCCACACTTCGCATGCATCTGCACAGCTTCGCACCCTTCGCTTTTCCCCTGGGTCCTCAGTGCCTTCGCACCTTCGTACCCCTCGCACCCTTCGCACCCTTCGCTTCTCCTTTGCCTCTTGATTGCGCCTCAAGAGTGCAGTCAAGTCGCTGAAACTTGAAACGACGTGGGGGCTCCGGATGGGGCTCTGATTCGCGAGCCTTTCCTTAGACCTGGGCCGTGGAGCCTATCCTTTGCCGAGGCTCGGGGTGGCCAGAAAAGCCATTCGTTCCTTCTTGTGAAGGCCTTGCGGCCAGTGCCGCCGACCTTGAAGGACGACGACGACGATGTTGACGACGACGACGACGGCAAATATGACGGCAAAGACAGCGACGTTCACGACGACGGCAAACACGACGGCGACGACGACGACGGCAAAGACGACGACGACGTTCACGGCGACGGCAAAGACGGCGACGGCGACGACGACGGCGACGGCGAGAATGACGACGACGACGACGACGTTCCTTCTGGCAGCACGATGGCTGCACCTCCGGGTGGCGAGCCCTGGGCTCCCAGCGGTTGCCTCGCTGGCCTCCTCGGGGGGGCGGGTCCTCGCCCACGGCGGTCGCCTCCCTGGGCGGGGCGCGCGCGCAGGAGGGCGGCGCGGGCGGGGTGGCCTC